GGTGAAGTATATATACTTATTAATGTCATACATATAGATCTGTAAGAATCATAGATCTAGAATTTACCAGAACCCCTTTATTTGTAGGTGACAAACCTTTAGAACTCTAATGAACAGTGAGTTTTTCTTCTTGTGAAATCATATTTTGTGATCACAACTATCAATACAAAATATTAAACTTCCAGAGGAAAACACAAGTTACCATTTCCTCTGCATTAATTATATTTTAGAAATACTTGTTTTAAAAAGATAATGGGTTCCATTAAAACTGAGTCAAAATGGTAAACAACAAGAAGTGTAACAGAGTGAGTTGTTATTTCTCTGGAATGTATGCTATTCAAGCTGATACTGATCAGCTTCTTGACAGTTGTGAAATGCAATCATATATTTCTGCATTCTAAATATACATTTTCCCTTATATCTAATTTTATGCTCATAATTCTGTCTTATCTTAATTAAACCCTCCACCAAATGTACAATAATCAGTAGTTACAAAACCTGGATTCCCTCCCGGGTGACATAAATTTCAGTCTGTCTGCGTATGCAGTTGATATGATATGACAGCTGAAGATCCTCTCTCCCCCAAGCCTCTTACCTTGATACCACATAGATCTTCAGTGCTCAGAAATAACCATAAAAACCCTGCATTGCCAGGCACCGTGACTCATACCTGTAATCCCAGCACATTGGGAGGCAAAGGCAGGATAATTGATTGCTTGAGGCCAGGAGTATGAGACCAGCCTGGACAACATAGAGCAACCCATCTCTACAAGAGAAAAAAAAAAAAAATAGCTGGGCACAGTGGGCGTGTGTCTATAGTCCCAGCTGCTAGGGAGACTGAGTTGGGAGGACCCTTTGAATCCAGCAGTTCCAGGCTACAGTGAGCTATGATCAGACCACTACACTGCAGTGTGGGTGACAGAGCAAGACTCTGTCTCAAGAAAAAACAAACAAAAAACCCTGTGTTAACAGAGTTCGGTTTTTAACACCCCATGGAATATTTATCATAAAACAAATTAAATTTAATTATAAAAAAGTAAACTTATACTTGCTTTTGGGCATGAGGTAAGTACTCATCACAGAGGCTTAACGTCCACAGAACTAGTAATAGTGGAGCCGAGTTTCATATTTAAGTCTTTGGGTTTCACACAGTCTTTAATATGGGAATAATGAAAATATAGATGTTATGCCAACTGCATTTGCCATCTATGTGTATTTCTAAAGTCCTTTTGAATATAACAATATATACATGTGAGAATTCATAGTCTTGTGAGAGAAGATACTTTTGAGAAATGAAATTATAGCCTTTATTTTTTGTTTTATATAGCAAATACTTACCTGAGATACAAGCTACCTTTATGAGGTTTTTAGAAAGGTTAGTAAATCGTCTTTGTAACAATTTGATGAGGTAGGTATTGTTTTATTTTCTTTTGCAGTGTCAGAAACTATGAAGCGTTGGAGATTTTAGCTTGCTTTCTAGTTAGCCTGCCGCAGTTTCATAGATGCTGACAGAAAACACAAATATGAAGAGTCAGAGACAGAAAACTTCATTACTAATGGTGTAGCAGCTGCAAGAACTTCACGTTCACCTCAGTTTGGCTTGCTTTCCCCAACCCAAGTCCCATGAGGGAGATGGTTAGGCAGGGGCCAGGCAAACGCTGTACACACAGTGGGTTTGGATCAAAAATAAGTAGCACCAAGCTCAGTAAAACCTGTCTTATTAGGTTGGTGCAAAAGTTATTGCAGTTTTTGCCATCAAAAGTGCTGGCAAAAACCACAATGATTTTTGTGACTGCAATCACACCTGCCCAAGGGTTTGGGAGGGAGGGGATCATGAATCTATGTTGTTCTAATCAGGAAACAAATCTGCCTTATGACCCACAGGGAGACTCTGTCGCTGTTTTGCAAGACTGTTTGCTTTCTAGGTATCCTTGAAAAGTTGCCAAGACAAAATCTGTCACTAGACGTGTGGGGGCGCCAGGAAGAATTGTCCCTTAACCTACAGATGAGGAAACAGAAGTTAGGTGAGTTTTCCATGATGTGATGCCTTCATTAGTAAGTAGTAGAATTGGGATTACAGACCTCGAAAGGGAGGCTCCAGAGCCCATGTTCTCAGTCCCTACTCCTCCTTCTTTTAGTACCTCTCCAAGTGTGAGCAGGTGCATCTCTGAAGGCTGAACTGATTAATAAACTTGACTTTCTGTTACGTGTCAGTTACTAAAGGGTTTTTCTGGGGAGGGGGTTAGAGTAAAGGGTTCCCAAGGGAGATATTCTAAGCCTCCTTGTAAATCAGTAGGATTCTGTCACCTAAACACCTCTAGGAGATTTTCTCTTTTATTCCTCAAAATCCTAACAGATAGGGCTGCATCAGACTTACTTTCTTCTCTACCTAGGAGCATAGTCTTCGTGAAACTATTTTTCACACAAATAGTGTTGGTTCTGCAAATAACACAAGCCTGTAATCCCAGCATTTTGGGAGGCCGAGACGGGCGGATCACGAGGTCAGGAGATCGAGACCATCCTGGCTAACACAGTGAAACCCCGTCTCTACTAAAAAATACAAAAAACTAGCCGGGCGAGGTGGCGGGCGCCTGTAGTCCCAGCTACTCGGGAGGCTGAGGCAGGAGAATGGCGTAAACCCGGGAGGCGGAGCTTGCAGTGAGCGGAGATCCGGCCACTGCACTCCAGCCTGGGCGACAGAGAGAGACTCCATCTCAAATAAATAAATAAATAAAATAAAATAAAATAAAATAAAATAAAATAAAATAAAATAAAATAAAAATAAATAAAATAAAATCTTGTTCTAAAAGGGGTCACTGGCTGTCCTTATAAATTAACAAGTAAAACAACTAAAGACCGAAAGCAGTTGAATGAAATGCTCACAGCCATACATTTAGTAAGGAACAAAATCAGCATAAGAGAACTTCTGCTTTTTAACTTTAGTTCTGCATGCTTTCCCCCATACGGTAAAAATGAGCCTCAGACTTCTACATCTTATGCTGTTTTCTTTCCCCGAACCGTTTGAAGAGACAGTATCGCAAGTCTTGTTAAGCACTAAGGAGACACCCAAGAAAAAAATTAGAACTTGATAGATTTTTCTTAATCTAAGGACCAAGAGTATAAAAGTCCAGATGTAATTAATGGATTTTTAAATATCTCTAAGTTTTAACTGTACTCAGCTTACTCACCAAGGCAAGAAACATTGTCTGGATCTAGTAAAGCAATTATAGAAACAAATACTTTCTCTTTAGTAAAATGAAAAAGTTCCAGGAAGAAGTCCTATTTATATTTATTTCCCTTGAGGCTTTCACCCCTCACCCCCTCTGGAAGTGAGTTTTAAGGAGAAATGAAATTTTGGGACTGGATGACTCAATTATGTAAATGCACTAATTATATATGGAACAGATCCTATTTCATATGTTTTCTTTTTTTTCTTCTCCTTCTAACTAGAAGAAGTGTTTTTAGATACATGTGTTGTCCAGGGTTCCCAGGGGGTGAATGTTCTACATATGTTCAACATTTAGAAATACAGTTCCATTAACTGTCCTCTATAGCTTTTCTAGGTATGGTTATTTCATAATAGGTAATACAGTTTTAGGACCAGTGAGATGCATTACTGAAAGTTTCCACAGACCTTCCACCTAATTTGAAACACTACACTATTATAGCCTCATAAGTAGATTATTAGGTTTAAGTTTATGCTAGAGGAAGTTTAAAAGCTGATATTCTTCCTCTACAGGGTCATGACTATCACCCTTCTTTAAAAACCAAACGTGCGGCCGGGCGCGGTGGCTGTAATCCCAGCACTTTGGGAGGCCAAGGCGGGTAGATCACCTGAGGTTGGGAGTTCGAGACTAGCCTGACGAACATGGAGAAACCTCATCTCTACTAAAAATAAATTAGCCGGGAGTGTTGGCGCATACCTGTAGTCACAGCTACTCAGGAGGCTGAGGTGGGAGAATTGCTTGAACCCAGGAGGTAGAGGTTGCAGTGAGCTGAGATCGTGCCATTGCACTCCAGCCTGGGCAACAAGAGTGAAACTCCATCCCAAAACAAAAACAAAAACAAAAAACCAAATATGCTGCAATGAAGGTAAATTAATACCGCTGTTTGAAGTATCATTTTTTAAATCAGGATACACTTGTGTATATATATCTATATCATATCTAGATATTGATATATATCAGAAATTTATATCATATCTAGATATATGTCATATCTCTACCTCATATGTATGATTACATATGATAAAGCAGAACAGTAATGCCACTGTATGGTTATTTTTGAAATACTTAGTTTATATTTTAAAAGAATAGAAATATTCTTCTGAAAGAACTTTTGAAAGAGCACCTAGGACTCGTTTCAAACGTTATTGTAAAGTAGAGGAAATTGGTTTTCAATGATCTCTATCTCAGTTCCTCCCTGTTCTTTATTCAATGGGCCCATGCTCTTCCTTTCACATTTTTCATTTCCTCAACTGAAACCTCCTCTAAGTTTCCTAATTGAATATGTTATAGCCAACTCGTATTTCAAGAATATGCATCACAGGAAGTTTTTATTTTGAAGGAGGAATAAAAAGCTTTAAATTGAAAGGACTAAGGTCCAATATTTGTCTGTCCTGCAGGCCAAAATGTCCGCCCCTTCATGTTCTGCAAAAAGTCTAGATGATGTTGGAAATTAAAAGTTTTTGCTTCAAGCTTTGATATAGTGTCAAATGACTTGGTTGGTTGTGGTCAACTTGGCACCATTGATAGACTTCTCAAAATCTAACTGCTTTTCTTAGAATTCCTCTCTTGTACTACAAATGGTAATTTGCTGATAAAAGGAGCCCATGAGAGATTTGCAAGATGGAAATGAAACAAACGCCAGGATGTTCAGTGTCAGGGCAGAGGGATGTGGCATGCTGCCAGGGACTTCCGGCCATGGGGTTTGCAGCCTTCCCGAAGCTGTATCATTTCCTCCCTCCACTGCATGGTGTCCTGCTATTGGAGTAAGCACGCTGTTACAGCACCTTATTCTGGCTGCAGTCTTCCTGGTTCTTCAGAATTTCAGCTCCCTCCACACTGGTGGAAAGCCTAATTCTACACAAAACTCCTTATTTGCATAATAGTTGTAGTGCTTTTGCTATTCTAGTCAAATCCAGCCTGCAACAGCTTTCAGAGAAAAATTACAACATTCTTTGCATTACAACAAATACTGGTTTCATATTTCTAGGTGATACTAATGATTGAGACACATTCTGCAGAAAATATAAGTAATTTTCAAAAATATGTTTGGCTTTCCACATGATTTTGATTTGTAATAAGGAGCAAAACTAAAAACCCTTTTATTTAGATGTTTAATTTCCTTTCCCATAAACATATAAAAATGAAGGAGTATAAATATGTTAAAAGACAGAAAATACTGTAAGCTTTCTTTTTTATGCAATGTATACAGATATTTTTAGATTTCAATATACAATTTGTATTAGTTCTATAAAACCTTCACATAAAAATGTTTTATTTTTTTACATAATTTCTAGATATTTTTTAATGTAATTACACGGAATTTACAGAATATATTTATACTTAGTTTCTAGATTTTTTCTAATGTATTCCTTTGTATATTATATATATGTAAACAATATTGGATATATCAATATCATCTATTTCTTATTAAGCCAAAGCCAACAAAAATGTTATTACCTCACTAAGTGCTTTCAAACAAGAATTCTAATTTTATATAACATCTCTTCTCTTCATTTTGCTGGAAGGAAATGATACCTAAAGAATTATTAAACTGGTGATTAAGACGGTCATCACTGGTTAAGTTGAAGTGTGAATAAGAGAAAATGAAACAAACTTTGTTTACTTCATAAAATACTAATTTAAAAGGTTTCTTACACATATTTTCTTAAGTATTTTATGCTTACCACCTTTTATCTTGTATCATGTTGTACACAAAGACAAGACAAATTAAGGACTGCATTTTGGAAACCTGTGCCCTTTCCAAAGAAACTGCCATTTGCAAAGACCATTTCATAATACATTTATCGGAAACCAGCAGGCATCAAGGATTTTCCTATTGTGGCAAACTGTGGGTCAAACTGACGCTTCAAAAAGGGCAGTCAGTATTGTATTCAAGCTGACCTTCTTTTGTTGCAATAAAGAATCTTGAAGCATTGTTAAATAAATAAATCCCACGTGCTGCTATTGACCACGAAGTACACTAGATAGAGTTCTCCTGATGGGAGAGCACATTATCAAAGTTCAGTACATTAAATTCAGAGCATTCCCCTTGTGCTAAGGAACTAAGGGTGCAAACATGAAACTACTCTTTATGTTAAGTATCTAAGGCATCCTCACACAACAATGGTTTATCCAATAGACATTTTGCTGAAACATGAATGTTTGCATGTCAAAATCAATATATTGGTTGCATATCAAAATCAATATATTGGTTAATATACCCATTTTCTAAAACCTAAGATAAAGAATACATAACATTTTGTCAAAAATTTTAATTCTACTTTTAATATTTAAAATGTTGGTCAAATTATAAAATCTTGACAATATGTCATGAAAAATTAAGTTCTTTATGCTGCCAGGTACTGACTCTGCTATCTACTCTCTACTATGCCTTTTATACTTGCACATCCAAATAGAAGTTGATTTGCAATTGGCTCATGATTTTGTAATATTTATCTCTAATTTTTTAATAGAAGAACATAATTCAAGTGAAAGTTTTTTTAGTAGCATGTTTTCTTGTTCATTGTTTGTTTTCTTTTTTGTTTCTGTTTTATAAAACCAGGTGCTTCTCTCAGTTACGCCTTTGTGAGCTCTCAAAAGCACTTCGTCTTCAACTACTAAAAACATTTGGTGTTTCAGCACTATCATTTCAACAAACTTGATGTAATCTTTGTCTTCCATATACTTAAAACTGTAAGGAATTGTTTTAGAACAAGTTTACTCTTGTTTTTTTTTAAAAAAAACATATTTTACACTTAATGTCTTTTTGAGAAATCTGTTGTTATGAAGTTTGATTTGCAAAAACAAAATATGTTGTTGGCATCTAATTTACTTTAACACTTCTTTTTTTTGTACTTTCTATGTTCTTCTTTAGACTGCATGGAAAATGACTTACCATACATATTAGGCAATTTTGAAGATCTTTCTCTTCAAAAACCTTTGGATGGCAGTTATTGTTTTAACTTTATTTCTTCCTCAAATAGGTGAAGAATTTTTAGTAGGACCTTCCTTGAAACACTCCTTGTCTACTTAAGATCAGTACAGTTTTTAAGTTATTTTTAAAATGTTAGGAATTAGAATATAATACATAAGCACTATAATTATTCATATTTTGCTTAATTTTTATAAACAATTTTTCATATAAAAATATGTTCAGAATAAATTTAGCAGACATTATCTTTTAATTATTTAAAATAACTAGCAATCTATTATTCTAATTATTTAAATATTCTAAAATTTTTAATAGATGTTTTATTATTACAGATAATTATGAACAGAACCATAACTAAATATTATGTTATTTTATTCAAAATAGTTGTTATTACTTTAACAGACTAATAGAATTTCAAAACATAAAGCACATAAAGTGAATTTTTTACTGGAGAGTACATCTATAATTCTTACTTTTAAAAAGTGAATATTTTGTATTCAGGCCTTGTTTTTATTACTGACATTTTACTGATGACCTATGATGGTAGCCTGTGTGCTAACATGATCATTGATCACATACCAGCTCAGTAATGTCAGAAATGACAATAAAGTTGACATTTCCCTATTTTGTCTTCAAAAGGCTAAGGCTGAAATAGAAGCTAAATGGTAGATTTCAGGTGATTACCATGGCCAGCGGCAAACATGGCACATTTTATTATTCATATACACCTTCCATAAATGATCATAAGTGCTAGCATTCTGTGTGTAACATGTTAGTCTATATTCAGGAGTTACAGTAATAAACAAAACAGAGAAAAACTCATCCTTCATTCTGCATCTGGGGAAGAAGAGGCAAACAATAAGAAGTAAAGAATTAAATACCTAACATGGTCAGATTAAGTGTGAAGAAAAGTCAAGTGGACTGAGAGACTAGAATGAGAGGTGCTGTTTTAGAAATCATGGTCAGGAAGGTCTCTGAGGAAAGTATTACAGAGAAGATGAGGACTTAGTCATATAGGTCTCTCTCATATCACAGTTATAATGTTGCTAAAGAATGTCTGCCTCTATTTTTGAAGGAGACCCTGAGGGCCCCCAAAGTGATTTTATTTACCTACCCTCTAAATACAATGAAAATCTGTCTGGCTATTTCACAAAATGTAGACAGATTCGTGTGTTCATGGCTTAGACACTATGTTTCATTTATTGTGCTTTATATAATCTATTTAAATAAGCATAAAGCTATCGACTTTTTATGTTAGAATTTCTCTACTTAGGCAACTTTATTAATCTGAGGAAGCAAATTATAACCTGTCCATTTAAAGAAGAATTATTATGATGTGACCATGTTAGCTTTTAAGGAAACCAAATTACTATGAAGTGATGGGTAATGAATGCTGCATTTCCTTTCAGCCCTTAATGAGCCTGTGCAATGTTAGGTAAAAACTGGAATAGCAATGCATTTCATTTGCTATGAGAGAAAGAGGACTTCCACGTTTTCAAAACCATGAGAAAGGCTTTTCTTGCTTATTTCCCACAACCATTTCATCATAAAAATTTCTCCTAACTTGATCATCTCTCACTACCTCCATATCCAATCCATCTATAAATCCAGTATCTTATTCCTAAACACATTCCAAATCATTCCAGTTATCCATTTCGGAAATTACTTGCATTTCAGCCACCATCATTTTCTTCCTGAACTACTACATTATATTGAGTTGAGGGAGGCTTACTTACCATTCTGGGACTTGGACTAAAATCTGAAGTTGCAAACGGGAACAGTCTGGAACAAGTAATTACATGTAAAACCAGTGTGCATCATGCTATCATTGTTTCTCTCGTATTCCTATGCATTTCCTTTATCTTACGGTCACATATCTAGCCAAGTCCAGATTTAGCTTAGTCAGGTGAATTGAGGGAAGAATCTGCCTAGGGCTTGGAGAAAACACCCACAGGGAAGAAAGACAATTGGTTTCAAAGGCTTGGTGAGTTCTGCAGCAGGAGCAGGAGCAGTTCCCAAAGAGGTGAATGAGTGCAATTTCCAGGACAGTTTTGTGGAGCACATAAGCATTGTTCAATAACATGTTGACATTTTTTAGGAGGGAAACCTAATAAAACAAACCTCAGACTTCACGTGGTTTAAAAAGTGGAAACTCTGAAAGTGTTTATAATTTAAAGAAAATGTTTATTTCTATAATCAAAAGGCTAGTGAGGTTTGGGGACAGATTTATTAAGCAATATTCTAAATTTAGTGTTACTGTAAAGGGCAATCTGGGAATATTTAGTTCTTTCCAGCTATTGACAGAAATAGGCCACAATGAGAAATATTTATTTAAATGGGAGACAAAAGGAATTAGAGTATTCTATCAGTGCCTCTTTCATCTTCATCCACGAGTCTATTTCCTCAACAATTATATCCCAGATGATATGTCACCAGGCTCATTTTCCAGTCCCCTTGATTAAGCCAAGATACAACTCAGTGAGGCACATGGATTGAATTCTTTTATATCATTTGAGAGGAATAGCTTCAATTGGTCTCTCAGAGACCTATCAGCTAAACGCAGTGTCTTAGTGTCTTTGCCATGGGCCAACAGAACCTAAGTTTTAAACATAATTATAGAAGTTAGGCTTCAGATGTATACAAAATCCTAAAGAATTGGAATAATTTTGCTCTCAAGTATTTGAAAAATTTCATTTGATTGTATGTGATTTGTGGTTAAATTCTCTCCAGAATATTACTGCTTATTTTTAAAAAGTCTATTTTAGCATTCAACAGGAGTGCTCAATTAGGGAGGAAAATAATAAACAATAGTTACCTCAGCTATAGATTTTAAACCAAGGATGATGAATCACATAGTTTTAAAGATTGTAAAGTTTAATTTCCGTTGGTGATTAAGTATTACTCTTCAGGCAATTATATTATGCCAGTGATACACCATTCTACATCCTTAAAATAGAAATATCCTCTAACTTGATAAAACAGAATACATCTATATTTCTATAAACATGTTTTTTAAGAAAAGATATATGAAAGTAATAAGGATATTACCATTTGTATTAGGCAAAGGTGTGATAAATTATTTTGTTTTCTAAACACATGATAGTTTCTCTTTCTATAAACATAAAAATGGATAACCAGGCCAAAACATATAAAACTTAGATTTTGTGTTTTGAGTTCCAAAACCTCTATACTTAGATTACCTTTGTAGTTCAGATATATATTACAGACTTTTTAATAGGAAAGATGTGATAAACTACCCTCGGATTGTATGTGCTTGTAATGGCATTATTTCTATCTTGTTGACAAGTCTGCGCTCACCTTTCATAAAAGCGGAGAATGACTGTATGCATTTATCACAACTCCATAAAGTATATAACAGTTTCTACTTTGTTTCAATTAAGGGGGAAAAAACAGACATATAAGTTTGGTAGGAAAAAAAAAGCCCTCTATGTGTCCACGAATTCTAAGTTAGGGTGTCTGATTTTATAGGAAAACAATAATAATAATAGTAATAAAACAGCTTAACAGTAACAAAGATTCTCAGAGTTTTTTTTTTAAGATTGATGCTTAGTAAAAGAATTATAGCCGGAACAGCTGCAGGAAAATCTGGCACAAAGATAGTGCTCTGGTTAAGATATGCTCTATTGCTTTCTAAAACAGAAGGAATCACAGTGGCGTAAATGTACAAAAGATGAGAGGGTAAAGCACCTATATTACAGTCAATAACATAAAATGTCAATTCTTACTCAACCCTATTCAAACAACCATGCATGATTTCTCCTGAAATTACTACTAGGCTTGATGTTTTCTTCATTAGATTCCTATCACCACCTCTACATGGTGTTAAACCAGGGGTGAATAATAGTTGCCCTGCAGCATCATAAAGCGAAACCCCATGCTAACAATCTCTGTAACTACAGAGTGAGAACGCTGATTAGCTGGATAGTGTTACTATGAGGGAACTTAACTGGCAAACAATTTCTCTTCCATTTTCCCAAGCGATTAGAAGAAATAAAAAGTGATGCAGTTTTCACAGGGATTTTGTTGTTTAAAACATACATGAAACTTACTGTGGCCTTAAAGTTTATGGAAATATTTAAATGCTCTTCTGGGAAGCAAACAGAAGAAAGTCTTAAAAAGGAAAGCCAAGATTTACTTTGACCTTTAGCTGAAAGCTATTTCCCCAAAGCAATACTTTTGGAATGAAAAGGAAAATAATAATGATACTCCTGAGTTTTAGTTTCTGCTTCTGTTCAACTCGACCATAACAGTTATCTATTGCATGTAGAAAAAAAAATACCCCCAAATTTAGAGGTTTAAAACAGCAAACTTTCCTAACCACCTCGTGTTCGTGTGAGAGCTATATGGCCACAGCTTAGCTGACTCTGAGTTCCTCATGAGGTTTTAGTTCAGCTGTTAGGCAGGACTGCAGGCATCTCCAGGCTAGTGTGCAGCTGAATAATACTCTTCTTCCAAGCGCAGACACATGAACAATGGTAGGTCCTGGTTTCTCACCACATAGAATTCTCCATGGGCTGCCTGAGTGACCTCATAATGTGGCAGCTGGTGATGACAGAGAGAGCTCCAAGAAACACTCTCGACAGCAGCCACAGTCTTTTTGGAACCTGTTCTTAGAAATGACATTCCATCACTTCTTCCATATTCCATTTTCAAGAAGTAAGTCTAGACCACATTTAACAGGAAACAATTACATAAAGGAAAGAATATCTGGAGGTCAAGATCATTGGAGGCCATCTTGGAGACTTCCTACAAGGTCTATGTTTCTTTGTTTACTTCTTTTGGCTTAAGAAGAATCAAGTTCGGCCAGGGGCAGCGGCACACGCCTGTAATCCCAGCACTTTGGGAGGCTGAGGCAGGCGGATCACCTGAGGTCAGGAGTTTAAGACCAGCCTGACCAACACGGAGAAAGCTCATCTCTCTACTAAAAATACAATATTAGCCAGGAATGGTGGTGCATGACTGTAATCCCAGCTACTACGGAGGCTGAGGCAGGAAAATCACGTGAACCTGGGAGGCGGAGGCTGCAGTGAACCGAGTTCACGCCACTGCAGACCAGCCTGGGCAACAAGAGCAAAACTCCATCTCAAAAAAATTAAAAAAATAAATAAATTTTTCTTCTATCTAACGACAGGCAAAGAAACATCTTTTTAAAACTAGCACATCATGAATATAATATTCTTGTATTTAAGAGCACATGGCATAAAATGTTAAAGCAATCTTTAAAAATTCTCATTTTACTACTGTATAGAAAATATCCAAGTTATACTTTTTCTTTGCAGATATAAATAATAACTCTGTCAAGGAAATAATACATGTTCACATACACATAACTCATACAGGTTGTATCTGAAGCTTAGAAGGTAACTGAAGTTTATTTCAACTACGCCGTTGCTGGTTCTACGCTCGATTCTGTGAAAACTGTGGCAGTTGCTTCCCTGTGTACAACTATTGTCGGCATTGTGGTGAAACTTTAAAATAACATGCGTGACTAGGAAATGGCAATAAGCCTCTTTAAAAAGGTAAATGTAAATTACAAAGATGTGTTGTTCTCGAAATAGTTCTGCAGAGACCTGTTATCTGCCACTTCCTACCTCTGACTGCCAGCAAGTTATGGAGCATTAAGTTAGTGCCCTCATTTCTAAAAAGAATGGCTTAGACTAGTAATTTTTAACTTTCTTTTCCCTTGTAAAATGTTGTAATTTTGCATCAAAATATACCAAAAGGTAAGAGAAAAGGCAATGATGTGAGGTTTGCTGAGCATCAAAAGATATGCTGACTCTTCGTTCTTTTTTAAAATTGTATTTTATTAAATATGGACAAATTATATTTGCATATACTTATGAGGCACGAAGTGATGCCATGATATCTATGCACACAATGTGGAATGATTGAGTCAAGCCAATTAATGTATTCATCATTTCAAATATTTATCATTTATTCCTCCTGTTTAACTGGAATGTTGTGCACTTGACACTGTACTTCCCACTCCCCAGCCTCTTGTAGCCATCATTCTACTTTATCTTCTATAAGTTTGATTGTCTTAGATTCCACAAACACATAACTGTCGATTCACCAAGGCTGAAATGAAGGAAAAAAATGTTAAGGGCAACCAGAGAGAAAGGTCAGGTTACCCACAGAGTGAAGCCTATCAGACTAACAATATCTCTCTACCAAAACCGTACAAGCCAGAACAGAGTGTAGCCCAATACTCAACATTCTTTTGTTTTTCTATTTTTTTTTTTTTTTTTTTTGAGACAGAGTCTGGTGCTGTCGCCCAGGTTAGAGTGCAGTGGCGCAATATCGGCTTACTGCAAGCTCCACCTCCCAGGTTCATGCCATTCTCCTGCCTCAGCCTCCTCAGTAGCTGGGACAACAGGTGCCCACCACCATGCCTGGCAAATTTTTTGTATTTTTAGTAGAGATGGGAAAAGAGAAGAATTTTCAACCCAGAATTCTATATCAGGCCACACTAAGCTTCATAAGTGAAGAAGAAATAAAACCCTTTACAGACAAGCAAATGCTGAGGCATTTTGTCACCACCAGGCCTACCTTACAAGAGCTCCTGAAGGAAGCTCTAAATTTGGAAAGGAAAACCTGGTATGAGCCACCGTAAAAACAAACCAAAATGTAAAAACCATCAACACTATGAAAAAGCTGCATCGAGTAATGGGCAAAAATAACCAACTAGCATCATAATGACAGGATCAAATTTACACATCACAATATTAACCTTAAATGTAAATGGGCTAAGTGCCCTAATTAAAAGACACAGATAGGCAAATTGGATAGAGTGAAGACCCATCAGTGTGCTGTATTCAGGAGACCCATCTCACTTGCAAAGACACACATAGGCTCAACGCAAAGGATAGAGGAAAATTTACCAAGCAAATGGAAAGCAAAATAAAGCAGGGGTTGCAACCCTGGTCTCTGATAAAACAGACTTTAAACCAACAAAGATCAAAATAGATATGAAGGGCATTACATAAATGGTAGAGGGGTCAATGCAGCAAGAAGAGCTAACTATACAAAATATACATGCACCCAAAATGGGAGCACCCAGATTCATAAAGCAAGTTCTTAGAGAGGAAAATGAGACTGAGGCTTACACACAATAATATTGGGAGACTTTAACAACACATTGTCAATATTAGACAGATCAACAAGATAGAAAATTAACAAGGATATTCAGGTCTTCAACTCAACTCTGGACCAAGCAGACCTAATAGACATTTACAGAACTCTCCACTCAAAATAAACAGAATATACATTCTTCAAAGCACCACATAGCACTTATTCTAAAATTGGCCACATAAATGGAAGTAAAACACTCCTCAGCAAATGCAAAAGAACAGAAATCATAACAAACAGTCTCTCAGACCACAGTGCAATCAAATTGGAACTCAGGATTAAGAAATTCACTCAAAACCACACAACTACATGGAAACTGAATAACCTGCTCCTGAATGACTACTCAGTAAATAATAAAATTAAGGCAGAAATAAATGAGTTATTTGAAACCAATGAGGACAAAGACACAGTATACCACAATCTCTGTGACACAACTAAAGCAGTGTTTATAGGGAAATTTATAGTACTAAATGTCCACAGAAGAAAGTGGGAAAGATCTAAAATTGATGCCCTAACATCACAATTACAAGAACTAGAGAAGCAAGAGCAAACAAATTCAAAAGCTAGCAGAAGACGAGAAATAACTAAGATCAGAGCAGAACTGAAGGAGATAGAGATACAACAAGCCCTTCAAAAAAAATCAATGAATCAAGGAGGTGGTTTTTTGAAAAGACACAAAATAGATAGACCACTACTAGCCAGACTAATTAAGAAGAAAAGAGGGAAAATCAAACAGACACAGTAAAAAATGATAAAGGGGAGATCACCACTGATCCCACACAAATACAAACTACCATCAGAGAATACTATAAACATCTCTACACAAATAAACTAGAAAATCTTAAAGAAATGCATAAATTCCCAGACACACACACCCTCCCAAGACTAAACCAGGAAGAAGTTGAATCTCTGATTAGACCAATTACAAGTTCTGAAATTGATGGAGTAATTAATAGCCTACCAAGCAAAAAAAGCCCAGAACCAGATGGATTCACAGCTGAATTCTACCAGAGGTACAAAGAAAAGCTGGTACAAATTTTTCTGAAACTGTTCAAAAAAAATAGAAAAAGAAGGACACCTCCCTAACTCATTTTATGAGGCCAGCATCATCCTGATACCAACACCTGGCAGAGACACAACAAAAAAAGAAAATTTCAGGCCAATATCCTGATGAACATTGATTAGAAAATCCTCAATAAAATACTGGCAAACTGAATCCAGCAGTACATCAAAAAGCTTACCCACCATGATCAAGATCGGGTTCATCCCTGGGATGCAAGGCTGATTCAACAAATGCAAATCAATAAACATAATGCATCACATAAACAGAACCAATGACAAAAACCACATGATTTTCTCAATAGATGCAGGAAAGGCCTTCGATAAAATTCAACACACCTTCATGCTAAAAACACTCAATAAACTAGGTATTGATGGAATGTATCTCAAAATAATAAGAGCTAATAATAATAAGCCAATATCATACGGAATGGGCAAAAGCTGGAAGCATTCCCTTTGAAAACCAGCACAAGACAAGGATGACATCTCTCACCACTCCTATTCAGCATAGTATTGGAAATTCTGGCCAGGGCTATCAGGCAAGAGAAGGGTATTCAAATAGGAAGAGAGAGAGTCAAATTATATCTTGCATATGACATGACTATATATTTAGAAAACCCCATCATCTCAGACCAAAAACTCGTTAAGCTGAAGTCTCAGGATACAAAATCAATGTGCAAAAATCACAAGCATTCCTATACACCAATAACAGACAAACAGAGAGCCAAATCATGAGCGAACTCCCATTCACAATTACTACAAAGAGAATAAAATACCTAGGAATACAACTTACAAGGGACGTGAAGGACCTCTTCCAGGAGAACTACAAACCACTGCTGAAGGAAATAAGGAAGGACACAAACAAATGGAAAAACATTCCACGCTCATGAATAGAAAGAATCAATATCGTGAAAACGGCCATACTGCCCAAAGTAATTTGTAGATTAAATGTTATTCCCATCTAGCTACCACTGAATTTCTTCACAGAATAGAAAAATCAACTTTAAATTTCATGTGGAACCAAAAAAGAGCCCATATAGCCAAGACAATTGTAAGCAAAAAAAAAAAACAAAGCTGGCAGCATCATGATACCTGACTTCAAACTACACTACAAGGCTATAGAAACCAAAACAGCTTGGTACGCGTAGCAAAACAGATATATAGACCAATGGAACAGATCAGAGGCCTCAGAAATAACACCACACATCTAAAATTATCTGTTCTTTGACAAACCTGACAAAAACAAGCGATGGAGAAAGAATTCCCTATTTAATAAATGGTGTTGGGAGAACTGGCTAACCATACAGAGAAAACT